TCTTGGATGTTTTTTTTTAAGTCTTATGTCCTTTTAGACTCATTAAAGATGGCTTCTTCTTCTTCTTCTTCTTCTTCTTCTTCTTCTTCTTCTTCTTCTTCTTCTTCTTCTTCTTCTTCTTCTTCTTCTTCTTCTTCTGTATCCTCCATTAATTGCTGTGTTTATTGATAAGTAGCAAGCACCATTTCTAAAAAGCAAAAAATTTCTCTCACACCATCTTTACCTTCTTTTTTTATCCTCTCTCAGTTCATCACCAGATAAAGCCATTATAAACCTTTTCTTCTTCTTTTTTCTCTTCTTCTTTTTAAAACAACCAAGATAATTCAAAACTTAAAACAATTCCCCAAAATCCCAAAGTCATCAAACAATCCAAACAGAACACAAAGTTCTTCACACTTTTTCTTCCTGGGGTGATATCAATTGGCAAGGGAAGAAAAAACCCAATCTGTATTTTAAAGTCTCATTACAATTAACTTCCAGTCTCAAAATCTTCCATGCATCTCCTCCAGCAAAATCTTAATGAAAATTTTCTTTTTGTCCTCTCCCTTCCCACTTATAACAGAAAGCTTTAAATTTTTACCTTCTATAAAATAGCAGAATTTTCAATATCCATTTGTTAAATCCATGTGGAAGGAGAGTAAACTTTCTCTTAAAACACTTTCACTCGCCGCTTGTAAATCTCTTCTGGAAACAAAGTATCTTTCAGAAAATCCGAATTTTCAGGATATTACTTGTATTACTTGTATCTTATAGTCCAGTTCAGCCAAGAAACTTTCGCTTCAGCACTTTCTCTTCCTCCAGCACGATCTTGTCCAGCTGTCAGCTTCTTTGTGGCGGCCATTACAGACCGCCGCTCCACCACCTTGAGAAAGAGGGTTGAGCCGGGTGGGGAAGGGGTCTGCGAAGACCCCAACCCCCGTCCGGATCCCTCCTATCTTGGGCTGCCTCTTCATGGCAGCCCTAGCCTCCAGATCAATAGATCGGAGGCATCAAAGCGGCTAGCGCGGCAGGGATCGCGCAGGATCGCAAATCCCTGCCGCTCGCGAAGCCGACAAACCGGAAGTTTCGGTTTTCATACAGGCTTTTTGTGTTGCTTTTGTAGGAGAAGGAGAGGCGGTGCTTGGGGCTGGTGTGAAGAGAGAACTCAACCTGGAATCATTAAGTTCTCACAATGGATACAAGTCCATTAACTCTTACCTAGCACCAATTTAGTGCTGATGTTTAGTTGAGAAGATTCTAGTGTGCAGGCACGAGCAGTAAATTTGCTTGCCTAGAACTTCACAGCTGGAGAAGCTTCTAAGATGAGAAGTGAAACCTCTTCACAGAAAAAATTCAGAAAGTCCAGTTGCCTTTGGGAAAAAGCACCTTTGGGGTAGAACTTAACTCTGTTCCTGATTCTTTGTGCCTCGCAGCTTTTCCTTTAGCTTTCCCCCCTTTGTGCACCAGATTTGATGAGTGGGCCACCGTTTATGATCTCTCTAAGGATCATGATGCACTTTGGAAAATATGGGTTGGCAGCTTTTCTGCAGGCTCTTAAGGGTCACAGGATGGTGCTATCACCCAAGTATCCATAACCAGTGTTTTGGGCCCATTTATGGTGGAGGTTGGAAAATGTGGTTGAATGAACATAGTCAAGAAGCTAGAATTCAGCAAGTGGTTGTCCAATTTTGTCTTTATATTGCTATTGCACTACTTTTGTTTGGTTTTTCAATTCTTGTGCACTATAATCTTTATTTTGTTAACCCGAGTCTCTTTATCCCCAGATTCTCTACTTGGTGCTGCAATTGGCCTGGGTAAGTTCCTAGTTTCTTCCTCCACCAGTATGTAAATGCAGTTCCTTGTGGGAACTGGAGGGGTTTAAGATTTCTCTCTTGGTCCTTGTCTTTTAGTATCTTCTATGTAAGTGGTGGGGGATGAACAGTGGAAGGGAGAAGTAGATCAGCTGATGTTCTCCAGTAGTTTGGACTCTATCCCCCAAAAGCCTTGAACGTTGGGTGGGAATTCTGGGCTTCCTGTTCGAAAGTAACAGTTCCTGAGACCAGCAACAGGAAACGAGTTCACCTTGCTGCTGGCAAAATCCTGGGATTATAGTATTTATTGTATACAGTTAGTCTTTGGCTTACAACTGCTTAGAGTCTTGGAATTGATGTTTTACAGCCTATAAAACATTTCCAGCTGTGGTAAAATGTTGCTTCTACTCCCCCAGCATGGTGAGAAGAATAGAAGAACAGAGTTGGAAGGGACCTTAGAGGCCTTCTAGTCCAACCCCCTTGCTTCAAGCAGGAGACCCTATAGTACCATTCCAGACAAACGGCTGTCCACTCTCTTCTTAAAAACCTCCAGTGACAGAGCACCCACAATGTCTGGAGGCAAGCCATTCTATTGATTAATTGTTCTGTCAGGAAATTTTTCCACATTTTGACCACATTTTGGGCATTTGGCAATAGGCCTGCCTTTATAACCAGTCACATGACTGATTTGCAATGTTTTTTGTCAGTTTCAGAAGTCTGGGTTTGTTTAATGACCATCCCATTTGCTTAATGGCCATAAAAAAATGCAAAGTTCCCCTGGGGTCTGATCACATAGGTGCCTTGTCTTATGTCTGGATTTCTAGTCCCAATTGTGGTTGTAAGACAAGGACTACCTGTACCTGGAGGAAACCTGAGTTCTTCTCAAGGAGAGGGACTCACTGCGGGACTAGGGACCACAATTCAACTTTGTGCTATCTTTTGGAGGAACACCAAAAGTCCCATGTTGGCATTGCTGGAAGGGGATGGCTCTTGGGTGCCATCCTGGGTGTGGCTAAACTACTCCAATTCCCATGCTTCGTGTCCTCCAAAATCTCAGTCAGAAACCACCACTGGAATGAATCATTCTGCAGCCAATGGTGGGAATTGTAAGTCACATGTGGATCATCTTGATGGTGCATCATGTACCATCCACTGCAAACCTGTGGAACAGAACATGTGCTGGGACTGACATGCTCCAGAAGCCCTCAAAACATGCCCTCTTTCTTCTCCATCACTCCAAAGTTGGTCTAGGGAAAGGACCTCCAACCTTGGCAACTTTACAACTTGTGGACTTCAACTTCCAGAATTCCTCAGCCAACATGCACTGGCTGAGGAGTTCTGGGAGTTGTTAAGTCCACAAGTCTTAAAAGTTGCCAAGGTTGGAGGTCCTTAGTTTATCAGAAGAGAGTCTGATCATCCCTGCTCTGGAAGAGAACAGGAAGGTCTCAAAGGGCCATTTCCAGAATAAGTTTGGCCATTTCCAGAATCTCTCTTGGCCTCAAAGTTGGGAACTCTTCCTGGCACACAAGGACCACAGTCAGCTCTATTTGCTTTCTTGCTCTACAGGGACGGCAGCGGTGGCTGTTCCGGCCGCAGTTGGCATTCTGGGTTTCAGTGGCGCAGGAATTGTGGTTGGCTCAATTGGCGCCAAGATGATGTCTGCTGCTGCCATTGCAAACGGAGGTGGAGTGGCTGCTGGGGGTTTGGTTGCCACCCTGCAGTCCATTGGTACGTTTCCTGCCCTGGCCCTGACACAAGGATTGGTTTGGTCAATGAGGACTGGAACCTTACCTTTTTGTCTTATACCTCCTGTCTAGGGGCTGCAGGGGTGCCGACTGCTGTGACAGCAGCAACAACAGCCATAGGAGCAGCGCTGGGAGCCTTAAAGAACATTTTCGGTTGAGGGGCCGGAGAACATCCCCCTCCTCTTCTCCATAGTATTAGCTGACTGCTTGAAGAGGAAATGGTTAGATCTTCATAGAGTCCTTGAATGATTATAGTTTAGCCTGCTTTCTTGTGGACTTACTTGTTCCACTGTTTTTCTTGTTCTAAAAATCCCTTATAATTTTTCTGTGCCTCAGTTTATATTAAATGTAACGGCATGTCCACCTTGGTGGGTTTCCATTCCTCAAATTCGCAATCGCCTCTCTTCTCCGGCCCTGAAGAGGCGAACCCCAAGCGCCTCTTCTGAACCTCAAAGCAGTACAGGTGTGCAAGGCAAAAAGTAAAACTTTTCCCCGATCTCATGGGCCAGGTTTTCTCCCTTGTTGCTGCTGGACACAGGCAAAATAAAACTCTTTTCTAAACTCTCCTAGTCCATCTGGATGGCTCACCTTTTTTGGGGAAGGAGTAAATCAGACGTTCATTGTTATTCCTTAGAAATAGATGCTATATTCTGTTAGGTTTAATTCTTTAAAAAAGCTTGTATTTAGGACTATGCATCTGGACTGGAAATAGCTAACAATCCTTCTGAGGAAGGATGCCATCATGTGACTGGGAATATTAAAATGGCAAGGACTGGTTGAAAGTTCTTTCCCCCCAGTGTTGTAACTTCAGTAAACTCAATGAATGATGTAAATTGAGGATAACCTGTGCTCCCAATAATTCAGCTCTGTTTGAACAGTTGTTAAAGTTTACATAATGGAGAGATCAGCAAAAACGGAACCACATTTTACTGCTTCCCTAATGGGGGCTAATCCAGCATCTCTGCTTCTACTTGTCTTGGGGCTTGCTTTGCAAAAGAGCACCCTTGCTCTCCAGGAAGCGGGGGGTTCGTTTCCCACACCCCAAGAGTGTGATGTCCAGAGCCCTCCTGCTTTTCTTCATACAGCACTCTCAGAGAGACCCATCTTCCCCACTCCAAACAAGAATCCCTCTGGGATATTTGGAAGGGTAGAACATCCTACAGGAGATGGCCCAAGTAATTCCCTTACTGTTGGGTTCTGAAAGGAAACAAGACAATTTCCTAAAGGGGAGGATAAGGAATGCAGGTAGCTCTCGATCACAACTGAGCCCAGAATTTCTGTCGCTAAGCGAGACAGTTAAAGTGCCCCACTTTACCATCTTCCTTGCCACAGTTGTAAGCAAATCTGTTGTTAAATTAAGCGAATCTAATTTCTCCATTGACTGTTGGGTCACAACGTCCTGGGCACACTGTGATCTTCTTATGAACTAGTTGCCAAGGATCTGAATCATGTGACCTTGGGGATGTGGCAACAGATGAGTGAAAAACTCATGTCACTTTTCCCTGTGCAGTTTGTAACTTTGGTCACTAAATAAATGGCATTAAGTTGAAGACTACCTTTGACTGCTGCTTGGAAAGTCACACTTCTGATGGCTTCTCTTGATGTGTGCTTAGGAGACCTCTGTGCATATTTCTGTGCAATTATGACACCAGTGAAGTGTTTGCTTTTTACACACAACACACCACACTAAACAGCATAGAACAAGGTTGTTCTCTTGTCTCAACATCTCTGTGGGCATGCCGGAAGGATTCATTTGTTTTATATTCTGTTTTATTATATTGTAAGCCACCCTGAGTTGTCTTGAGCTGCAAGGTGGGCGGCATAGAAATTTAATAAAATAAACACTTGTGTATTTTAAAAACACCTAAAAAATTCCATGCAATGCAAATTGGGAAATTTATTGGAAAAGTCACAGCTCTGCCACATCTCTTCCTCCATTCGAGCTTGTAATTATTTGCCTTAATATATAAAATGTGGGGTGCCTGTTTAAAAAAGATGGACGTGGGGAGTGAAGGGAAGTTAAAGATTACAGAAATATGACGTGAGGTAACTTAGAAAAGACTGACTTGCTTGTACTGTTTTCGGCATTTTCCAAAATACACCAGTGGTTTTGTTACAGGCAGGAGACGGAACGATCAAGTACACAACTGCAAAAGAGAAGACTACTTTCTGATTTTATTGTTAACCTTTGTTACTGTTAAAAAGAATACCCCAAACACACACACGCATACACGCACACATACATACACAAAAGGCTTTGTTCAATGCTGGAGAGACCAACAGGGTGTTTCTTTTTTCTTTTTCTGTTTTTTAAAGAACTCTTTAGAAATTTGGTGAATGGACAAAACCGCTAATAAAAAGATACACTTTTTCCTGGTTTTTTTCTTCTTTTAAAAAATAGTTTCAATTTTCAAAGCGATCTTTTAGAGACTGAGGAAAAAAAAAATCTTCGTCTTGAGGAAGGTGGTGAAATGGACTTGGCTAAGCCTATGCACCCTGTGTTTTGATAAAGGGCATTTTTTTTTCCTACCCAGAAGGAGGCAGGGTGGGGGGCAGGCAAAGCCAAGCCACCCAAATTCTGTTTTAGATTTGGAATCTGATTTCTATGCCTTTTTTTTTTTTTAACGAAAAGCAATGGTACATGAATCATGCTGAGGATTAACAATGCCTTGTTTTAAATCAACCAGTGGGATAATGCAAACAACAAAATATCTGGAAGACCTCCAACATTCCGACTCTCCTGGATTTGTAAAACTAATTTATAAATGAGTGAACAGTTTTTAGGCCAGTTAAAGAGAAAAAAAGAAAACCCAGGGAGATGGGGGTACAATTTCTCGGGAACCACTTTTGAATATCTTGCTCTTAAAAAAGCACTCAAGTGGTTTTGGAGGGTTGGGTGGAGGACCAAACCCTATTTGTCTGCATGGGGCGGCTGAGTGTGTGTGTGTGCAAGTTCATTCAGAAATGAGTTGTTTCCTCATAAAACCATGGTTGAGGTGGCCTGGCTAACCTTGATTTGCTCCTGCTGCCAGGGTTTTTCAAAAGGTGGCAGCCCATCAAGTCCCCTCCTCTTTGCTTCAGCTTCCGGCTGAGTCAAGTCTTTTTGAACAACCCAACGTTTTTTTCCCTAAAAGGAACCCCCTGAAAATTATAGAAAGGGAGAAGGGGCAAGGAAGGGATCTGGTGTGTGTATGTTACAGATGGCATTCCCATGGGCTTCCGTCTCACTACGTTCCGCTTGGCGTCCTACAGCAAAGTGTTAAGCAGCCCCCATGCAAGGATGGGTGGCAGCTACACTGCAAAATCACCCTGGAGGGTCTAAATCTAGCTTCCTTTGCTTCCATGGTTAGGAGGGAAGGATGTACACCACTGCTTTCCTTTTTTAAGAAAACACATCCATAATTGCTTTTTTTTATTCCACTACAAGCACCACTTGGGGAGGCAGGGAGAGGGAAAGAGACGGGTCCTCCAGTTCATCTTCGCTGAACATTTTCACGAGTGTTTTTTGCAGCCACTGAAAGCTCTCCAGTGTCCCTGCGTCTTCTGCCACTTTCCATCCTTCGAGTCTCGTTTTGCAACCTCTTGCAGCTTCCGCTGTGCCTTCAGAGGGTGTGTGTGTGTCTGTGTGTGTCTGTCTGTGTGTCTGTGTGTGTGTGTGTGACATGAGTGATTTTTCTGAAGGCCGGGTGCAGTTCGGTGCTTTTTGCAAGATACCATGGAAAGGGAAGGAAACAAAACCAAAACAAACAAACAAACAAAAAGAGAGAACCTCCCCTTCGCCCAAGTTTAGTCCGAAAGCTCTGGATCCGAGTCCTCCGGTTTAACTTTGGCAAGTTCTTCGTGCACTTCCCTTACCATGAGGATGCGCGTTAACATGATGTCCAAAGTCCCGGGATCTATTGGCATAGTGGAATACCACATTGGGCTATTGGGGACGCATGAACGTTCTGGCTGGAGGTAAAAGACGTCACTCCTCTGCTTCACGCTTTCAGAACTGGGTGGGGAGAGAAAAGGAGCAGGGGTTTGAGGTGGGGGTTGGAAATCTCTCCTTTGAGAAAAAAATGAGCCCCAAAGTGTAGCATCACTCACCACTTTGACAAGTAGAATTCATAGAGCCGAACTGGACATCTCAAGGGATTGTCAGTGTTCTCCACCATCTCCACGACTTCTTCGCCCTCATGACGTTTCCTTTTGCCCACTAATTTATCTGGAGGTGGAAAAGAAAGATCAAGAGACGGAAAACGGGGTGCAAAGGCCAAACAAACCCGCAACCCAACCGCAACAGGACAACCAGTGAAAAAGTCTCATTTTCTTGCCCAGCGTTCCTTGTGGGATGTTACACAATAGCTGCAGAAGAAACGGTAATACCGGGCCAGAACAGCAGACAGTATGTAGTTACATGGTTTTTTTTTCTATCCTGTAACCCAGACCTGGTCGTTTTATGGCCCTGAGCCACACCTGGCCCTTTGCCTATCCCTGTCCGTGTGAGGTCAGTTGGAAATTAGAAATTAAATATATAAATAAGCACGCCTCAGGGCGAGAGAAGGAAGGGCGTGTCAAGTTCCGTTCTGCACAAGTTGCTACGTGCTTCTTCAGTCAGCTGCGGGAAGATGAGGAGAGAGAGCGCGCTTTTCTGAGCCTGCCCTCCACAACAGACTGAGTTCCTCATGTGGCCCCTTGGGAAAACAACGGCCCACCCCTGCCCAAAGCAATTTAGCTGCTCAGGGAGATGCTAGGAGGTTGCATCTTGCCTGGGAATTTGTTTTGTTGAGATGCAATCACGAAGTCCATTCGCTTAACACCCTTTGCGCATTGCTATTCCACTGGATTAAAGTGGCCATTTCCTACCATTCTATTGGAAACACAATAAAAAACCCAAAGAAAACTACTGAAATAAATCCTCCAGTCGGAAAAACAAAAAGATAACAGGGCTCTAGAGGTGCTGCCTTGTCTCTCTCTCCATTAAAGCATGTTGATCTGCATACTAAGGTAGGAGGCAGCTCCAGCTAAGCAGAGAATTCTGCATTCAGGTTTAAAAAAAAAAATGGGAAGAAAACTGAATAAAGGCTATGGTGTTACCTAACTGGTAGGCAAACCACAGAGCACGGGGATCACCAAGGATCCCACTATCTATTCTTGATTGCCACTCTTTCAGCACATTCCTGGGACATAACATTGTGATGGAGGAACCAAGATTATCCCTGTCTACTTCCTGCAAGAAATTGGGCGCCAATGTCCCAATATTCCCTATAAATCAGGGGTCCCCAACCACCGGTCCGTGGACCGGTACCGGTCCGTGGAACAAGTCCTACCGGGCCGCTGGTTTGCTGGGCGCCGCCATCTTTTTTTGATGAAAAAGTGCTTCCGGTGAGGTCACCGGAAGCACTTTTTCATCAAAAAAAGATGGCGCCCAGCTGATGCCGGTACCGGGCCGCGGCATAAAAAAGGTTGGGGATCACTGCTATAAGTATTTTCAAAAGGGGAGGCTGTCTGATAAGATATTGCCTTCATCCTAGGGCCTAAAAAAAATTAAGGGAAGGGGGAAATGAAAGTAATGGTTGTATCAATGGATTTTTGGGCTTCCCAATAAATGGCAGCTGGCTTGCCGTGTGGGCCTCAGAAGCTAAGCAGGGCCCAATCTGGTTAGTGCCGTAATGGGTGACTATTATGAACAAATTCCAGGGTTAGAAGCTAGTCAACAACGCTCCCTGGGAAAATGCACAAAGGATAGGTTTACCTACCTGGTTCTACATCCTGCTTTTGGAAAGGTGGGAAGAAGCGTAGGTAAGTCAGCTTTGTGTTGTATTTCAGAGTCCGGGTGCGTCGCATGACATGGGCAAAGGACAGCTTCATGTGCTCGGTGACATTCTTGAGCTGGAAGTATTTGGTGTTAAAAAAAAGTAGCGTGTTCAAGAGCACAATGGGGGAATAGGCGCCCAGCTGCTTACACTCCCATAAGTGCTCCTCTTCGATCCTTGAAAACATGTAACCTGCAGATTGAGCAAGAGAGAAACAACAACAAGTCACTTCAGCTGGATCAAATCAAAGGCACACAACGTCTGGAACTAAGCCCCATCCTCCTTCAAAGATATTTGCTCCCTTTTCAAAAGGGGCCACCAACAAACAGCCTTTACTAACTGAACAAATTGCCAAGCTTACCGTTTGGAAGTATTGTAGGCTCCCAGATTTTCAACAGTTTTGTAAGTTCAATCATAAACCTGGAGTAGGGCTCAGTAAAAATGTTATCTATTCTACCGTTCTCAAATAAGTACTGCAAAGGAGAAGAAAAAAAGAAAAAGAAAAAATGACTATGTTTCTATAGAAATGTAGAGACAGAGCCTCTGGCTTAGCAACAGATTCAGTTCTGTCATCCCATCTTAATACAGCCACTGTCAATACTTAGAAGGGTTTGGGAAGTAGCCAGAAAATACAGGTCCTTATATGATTGAGATGCTCCCACGAACTGTATTTTCAAGCATGATCTCAAAATATTCCTTCACATATAACGTACAATTGATAAGCCAGGTCCATACAAGTAGACACTGGGGATTTCTTGGTGAATGCTACCTATTTGAAAATCTGGTCATCCTCAAATTGAGATTTTGAAATTTGACGGTCAACCCCTTTGGCCTGCAGAAAATCTGCAAGAGATGTAAGTCAAACTGACTTTCTTAGGTAGGGAGGAGTTAAGAGAACAAGTCATTTTCTGAGTTCTTGGACATCTGTTTAAATAAATCAGTAACAATACTTCTAAATCTGGAATATAGTCACCTCACCCCCACAAGATAGAAGTGATTTCTATTTTAATCATCTTTGGGACAATGATGGAAACAATGGCATTTCAGAGAAGTGATGGAAACCTATATCTACTTTTACCTTCCTACCCAATCAGCAGTGGGGTCTTTTAAATTTTATTGACATATTAAGAGTGTTGCCATCGTGTGTGTTATGATATATAATGACTTTATGCTTTGATAGAGGATTGGCTATTGGTGGCCATTAAGAAATATTGGGGGAAAAAACAAAATAGAACAAATTTCATTAAGGTCAGTGATTAGTGTAAAACACTGGAAGTAAACACCACAATTGAGCCCAAAATTTCTTTCTGTTTGCTAAGTGAGACATTTGTTAAGTGAGTTTTGCTCCATTTTACGACTTGTTTTGCCACAATTGTTAAGCGAAACACTGCAGTTAAGTCAGCAACACAATTGTTAAATGAATCTTGATTCTCCACTGACTTTGTCAGAGGGTCACAAAACCCATCATAAATATGAATCAGTTGCTAAGCATCCCAATTTTGAGCATGTGACTGTGGGGATGCTTGCAATGGTCGTAATTGAAAAAAAAACCCGGTCACGTCAGTTTTTTCCATGGCGCTGTTAACTCTGAAGAGTGACTTAGTGAATGGTTGTAAGCCAAGAACGACCTGTAAGTGCCTATCACCAATGTTCCTCTAATATTGAACTATTACAACCGCGCACTGGAGCCTGGTACAGATGAAAGTTTTGCTTTTTGAACTCTTGCTTTGCTTGTGCACCACTCAAGGCAGGGATGCTGTCAAGCTCATTCCTGCTTTTTCCAACCAAACCTGCAGTCAGTTTGCACAGGGATATACAAGA